CTAGATGGATACATGATGGTTGAGTATTGTTATCTTTTTAATTCATTCCAGTTGTATTTTTAATAGATTTTATCTGTTTATACATTTTTATTGTGTGTCATCCAGTCATTGTGTAAGAGTCATTATATAAAATACCCATTTTATGAATGTACAAAACATGTATTCTAAATGTTTATTCTTTTTCTTTTATCTTTAGTGTGTTTTTTCTTGGAGCTGTTCTGGTAATAGTTGCTACTTTCTTATATAGTTATGATCCAAAGCCAACAGGAAATCCTATTAAAGCATAACAAACTTTTCCATGTCACAATATTTTGCCAATATTGTGGAAAAAGGACTTCTAAATACTGTTGGAGGATTATCAGGCACTGAAAGAGTTTATACTGTGTCAGAAGAATGACGTTTAAATAGTTAAATTTGCAAAACAACTTCTGTAAAAGAAGGGAAGCCCAGAGCAAAACTTGAATGGGTTGCTTCTAGAACCTGGAACTAGAAGTGCTTCCAACTTGAACTCTATGGTTAAATCAGAATGATCTACTGTTTTCAACAGCTGCAGAAATGTCCTATGCATTCTTCTTGCAACAGCACATGGCATACCTGTTTTTGAAAGTTATTTCATCTTTTCTAATTTTATATGAATGCAGATCTGTATATATATATACACACACACACACGTTTCAAGTCAGAGATATAAAATTTTGTCCTAGAGTAGTCTTTTCCATACTGATGTCCTCTGGGTGTGTTGGGGTTTGGGTTCTATAACCTACCAAACAATAAATTCACCAGGCTGGCTGGAAAGTTATGGAATCAAAGTATAATATCTGGTGGGAAGATATGTTTTGTTTTGGGAAGGTTTGATGGTGACGTTTCTGATAAGTATTCTTGTTCAAAACCAATGAAGTATCACTGAATCATTGTTTGTAGATTTATAATATTTTATATAGAAAATAATTAATTCACTGAAATTGATGTTGTAAAATGTACTGATGTAAATGTCTTATAATTCATGGTGAATTCTCCAAGAGGAAGAATTTAATATTTTCATTTGGAAGCTTTGTGTGTATGAATGCCACAAACTATATTGCTGCACCATTCTCAGTTTTTAAAATGAGAGCACCAATTAGAAGCAGCATAACTACAGTATCTGGTACTTGTGCTACATTAGATGAATGTCATTGTACATTGCCATAACTGATAATATGTGTATTTGTTCAGAGAACAATTTCTTTACTTGATAAGAACATTCTTACAATTTATGGACAGTACATTTCATTGCTTACTATCTTAATTTGAAAATATTTTTAAAATGTATTTTTAAAAGTAGCCATATAACTCTATAAAGTATTATAGTTCCTTTTGGAGCCACAGTAGTATATTCATGTGTATATAATGTACTATAATATAGAGCTTTAAAAAAATCTGGAAAACTTATTTAACTAAAGTGGCTCTGTCCAGTCTTGAAATTCCAGTTAGAATACATGCTAATTGTATTAACCAAGAAATGAAGAATGTTACTGTGCAATAAATATTAGGCATGAATTGTTCAGGTGTGTAAGCGGAAATGGCCATAAAGCCCAATGGAACCCTCTCTGCTCTTCATTGAATATAAAACTTGAAATTACTTCCAAACTTGGGTCCAGGTAATTGCTTTTGATGCAGAAGAGCTTCGTTGGCAGTGTAGCAAATCTCAAAGGGCTGTAGTCACACCAGTAGAGATCATACCCAGACTATTTTGGAACGTGGAAATATTTAAATATGTTCAGAGAACATAATACAGCGATAGGCTCAGTGAAAGCAGTTTGTGTACATTTGCTTGATTAATGGTAGTACATCATTGAAATCCTCATGGAAATTGCTGCTGAGAAATTATGATTGTAATCGTGGAAGTCATCACTGGCACTTTGTGATCCTCCATGCAGACGTCTGGAACAGCTGAGCTGCATTGTAGGTGGAACTCTTTATTTTTAACACATTGTAGGCCAGTCTGTCCTAAATGTTTATAAAATATATCACAATAAAATAACGTCTACCCTGCATCTCCCTCTGACCCATATGCATCTTTTAACAATTATGGTTCTTCTGAAATTTATAGTTCCTCTGAAACTCATAGAAAACATAGTTGTGTGATATAAGACTAGGAATTTTACATTTTTCCTGGAACTTAGTTACACTAGTTTAAGAATGACAATGAATTAAACTAGAGGTTCATAACCCTTTTGCATTAGTTACATTGGGATTATCCATTCATAACATGTCATTATTGTTTTATGTAACAATAATGGAAGAAAGACTATCATGGGAGAGAGGCTTACTCCTTCACGAAATGATTCTAGTATTTTAAATTTAAAAAAATAATGAGGCAAGGATCCTGGTATGTAGTAAGATACATGTTTGTATATGTATAGATACTCAAAAGAACTACATGCAGTCCCTGAGAGTTTAATTGATGTGTGTGTGTGTGTGTGTATGGGTAGACAACAACTCTACACTATACTTCTGTCAATAGAAGCAATTTCTGCTAATGGAATGGAAGAAGGTGGATTCACTTTCCTTATCCATAAGGCCCAGCTGCATTTTTAAAAGCCTTTGGAACTTAAAAAGTTCTAAGTTCCAAAGTGGATTTTGAGGTCAGACAAAAGTCAGAGGTCAACTAAAAGAGTGAGAGTAAAAAGTACCATTATGGTAGTATATTTAAGGGTTTTTTATTCAATGTAGAAAAGGAAAAGTGCAGCACAATTACTATCTAAAGCAAATGATGAACAAATTTACAAACGAGATACTGTTATGATAGCTCCACTAGTAATGGTTAGTGGTAGAAGTAATTATTCAAACAGTGCTGTTAAAAAAGAAATAAAATATTTAGAATGGCAAAGAATTGTAAAATGTATTCCAATGGCAGATAAAATTCCAATTATATATAATAAACTAGAAAAATGCTATGCAATTTTGAGGGATGTGTAAATCAGTTTTATGGATTAACCAAATCTATGGTTAGTGGGGTTTTTTTTAATGTTATCTGAAAACTGAAAAAATAAGTTTCCCAAACTGCAAGAAAAAATACCTTAGTTAAGTACAAATTTCAAATATTAATGCTTAATGAGCTGTGAGAGGACAATGGCCTTAAAGAATAATGCAGACTTTGTATAAGTAAGCTGTTTAAATTGTTTGTGTTCTGTTTCCACAATAATTATAACTGGTTAAGAAACCAGACTAGAAATCTGGAGACCGTGAGTTCTGCTCCCACCACAGGCATGAAAGCCTGGGTGACTTTGGGCCAGTCACTTTCAGTCCAACTCTTCTTGGGGGGTGATTGTTGTGGGGAAAATGGGAGGAAGAGGGAGGAGTATTGGGTATGATCACCACCTTGTTTGTGTATAGATACCTGGTACCAAGAAATATCAGACTCATCATATTGGTAGTATGGAGTATAACCGATAATTAAGTACATGCCCTTCATATGTAAAAGTCTGATGCTGTCCCATAGCAGCCAATTCCAGATGTCCTCAGTATACAATCACAGCCTTATTAGATCAATCTCAAACCATCCTATAAATTCTACAATAAATCTACAACACAGTCAAGCCACTATTTAAAAAACTGATCAAAACAAGCTGCTAGTAACAAATGACATTGCCTTGCCTGGGTTCACATAATTATGTGCTATAAATTTATAAAACTCATTATTTATAAAATTCATTATTGTATCTGAAATCAGTCTTGGAAATGTAACATACAACTGATTAATCAAAAGCGCAGTTAAGTTTTATAACAATATGAATATAGGCATGGTTTCTAATTAACATGAGGCCATTATGTCAATATGAATGGAGAACAAGACTAAATTATAGCCAATTATTTCATTATTCTGTCATGTGTATCAATATCAAATCTTGAGATGTATAGTTTTAGGCTAATAATTAAATAAATTTAATTAAATAATTAAACAATTTAATTATTGTTACTGAACAAGTTGTTGGATTCATTTTTGAAGGTATCAGTCATTATAATGCCTTGTTATCATAATGGGGGCACGGCCGACTACAAATTCAAAATTCCACAAGTTGCAAGCAAGGCTAGCATCCACTACACTAAATTGGTTACCCACATGACCAACCTGATCTTATCTTTTTTGCAGCTGTCATTAAGAAAATGTTGCGGTTGCTAAGTCAACCAAAGGTTTGCTATGGACTGGTTTTGCTGAAAACTGGAAGTAAATGTCAGTTTTCAGCAAAACTTGTAAAACACAATCATGTGACCACAAGATTCTGCAAAGTGCATAAACATAGTTTGGTTCCCATAAAGAAACCAAAATATGCTTATGGACTTCACTCAATAAATAAGGAGCAGGTTCTCCAACTATACTTGCGAATAGTTCATGGGGAACTTTTCAAATTTTTCCCTCAGCATACTTTTATATTGCCAGTTGTATGAAAATACTGTAACCGTCTTCCTTACTCATTTGTATTGAAAAGGCCAGAGATTGGAATAACAATCAATAGATGAGACAGCCAGTTGTCCCAATTTCTCTCAAGATTGAATCAAACACTGCCCGTTCAAGTCTCAACATCCTTGGCCAAACACATTAAAGCTGCACCCATGCAAGTCAATTTGTGAAAAATGCCTTACTTTGATTTTCTATCTGCAATAATGGCCACTACCAAAATCTTCTGACTTAAGCTATTTGCTCTATGATGCATACACCAGCAATTATCTCAGTGTGGATTCAGTCAACTTTCGATGGCCTATACTTTGTGTGCCCACAGTTTTATGAAGGGTTGAATTAAGCCAAACCTTATTAGGGTGCAATTATAACTATGCTGTCTGAAATAATGATTCAAATTCATTTGTTGCTGCTATGAATGTCTTGTTGCTGCTATGACCCAGCAAAATAACTTGGTTTCCCCTTGGCTAAGTTTAATTTAAAACTGCAGACTTTTCATGAAATATCTGGTTTCAGTTGGCTACAAAAAAAATTCAGATTAAAAAAAAACAATTTTTGATCCAGACTTGAAAAAGGATGTAGGCTTTATTAAAAATATCCTGTAACTCAGACATACTAGGGAGACTGTTTTCTGTGATTAAATGCCTTATTGTTTTACAACCAGCACACAAATGAATCTTTACAGTGAGATTCAGGATCTTACTTTCAATTCTTTGATGAGGAAGATTCAATGGCACATCACCTACAATAACTCCATATCCTTTGCAGGAAAGAACACACAACTTTCTTAATTGCTCCCTTTATTCAAATTTGCATAAAAACTTAATAACCAATCATAGCAGAGCAGCTGCCAATCTTATCTTCCACTACCCATCTTTGAGACACTTCAGTAATGACTTTGAGGAAGTGGCCATTCTGTTCAATCACCAGTGCTATTTGTCAAGAGTAGTTTTGTTTTATCTACAGAATTTCAGGAGACAATTTGAAAACAGCTGTCATCTAACAAGATTAAGTTACAATAATTGATATTTGTATTATATTTATTCATTTATGTAATATATTTATTACACTTCCATTTAATTAAAAATTAAATATTCCAGTATTTGATAATTTAATAGTTCAAGTAATGTGGAAAGTAGCTGTATATTTTAGAGATATTTTAAACTTTTTTGAAAAAATAATCTCTTTATTTTTATTTGCTAATGGGTCCTGCTGTACTTCATTATCCAAATTATTAATTTATCTTTAATTAATTTTGGTCATCTTTTGTCAAACAAAAAAAGGAAAGGAATTGGTGGTGCATGTGAACATTTGGAATCATAGTTCAATTTACATTTTTGTGATGCATTGGTTATTTCATTAATCAGAGAAATGACTGGTTGGAGGAAATGGAAACTGAACTCTAAGCACCTGGAGGGCTGGCATAAGGTTGCCTATTGCTGTATTAGATTTTATCTTAAGAGGAGCACTGTAAAAATCTTAGAAGATTGATGTCATGCTATGGATGTGATAACAAGAAAAGAATGAACAACATACACATGATCCTTGTGTGATCCATTATTAAATTATATGCTTTCTCTGATCTGTGACTTGCACACTTCCATCCAACAAATTCTTGGGATAGCAAGCTTCAGGGCTCTTTTCTCCCCTGTACCACTCTGTAAACATAGCAGAATTATGTAATTTTTTAAAAAAATGACATTTCATACATTACCTAATATTATGCAAGATATTATCACAGGGCATAAAATATATATTGTAGTCTGTATTTTCCTAGAACTGTGATGGCGAACCTATGGCATGTGTGCCACAGGTGGCACGTGGAGCCATTTCTGCGGGCATGCAAGCTGTTGCCCTAGGTTGGTTCCACTGTGCATGTGCGCGCCTCCCACCGGCCAGCTGATTTTCGGGTCTCTGCCGCGCATGCGGGAGACGCATGCGCATGCGGGAGACGCGTGCGCATGCCCATGCCACCCCTCCCCTCCCAGGAGTCTCCACGCGGCCTGTTTTGGATGCCAGGTAAGTAGAGGGCTCACATGGAACGCTCTGGGATGGCAAAAAACGGGCCTACTGGAAGTCCGGAAATGGGCTGTTTCCAGACTCCGGAGGGCCTGGGGAGGCCATTTTTGCCCTCCTGGAGACTCCAGAAAAACCTCCGGAGCCTGTGGAGGGCATCCGGAAACAGGCCGTTTCTGGACCCCAGAGGCTTCAGGGAGGTCTACTAGGCCCAAAATGGGGCACGGGTGTGTGGGTGGGTGGGTGTCGTGTGCGCATGTGTGGTGGTAGGGGAGCATGGGGGGTCACATGCATCTGTGCAGGGGGGCATGGCAGCGCGGGGGGATTGTGCACACATGTGCAGGGGGTGGGCCATGCTGTCCAAAACATTGAAAATAGTGAAAATTTTCTTAATTGCAATTCTTTTAAATTGTAATAAATCACTAAAATTTCATCTAGAGAGCAGCAATTGTTCACCTTACCTTCAAGAGTTTTCTTGCAGTGTTCGAATGTGAAATGAAGTGCCCAGGGCTTGTCTTGATTACTGACAGGCATGCCAAAGTATGTTTTTTAGACATCTTAATTGATGCTTTCAGAGTACTTTTCGTTCTTTGTCTTGATAATTGTCGACACACATAGCAAAACACACCTGCTGGATGCAAGCAACTTCTTGATGCCATCTCAATCAAATATTGCTATTCATTATTCTCTTACTCAGCAATTAGACAAACTAAAATGTTGGCTTAAGGCAGTGGCCTCCAACCTTTTGGGCCCCAGGGACATGTTCAATGGAAAGACACTTTTCTGTGAACCAGAGGGGGTGTGGTTTCATCTGCTACCTGCATCCCACGGATGGGGCTTCAGTTCTTTGCGTGGCCGTTTCTGGCATTCTGCGGCCGGGGCTGGTCCATGGACTGGGGATTGCGGACCCCTGGTGTAAGGCACTTGTACTTTTATACTTCTATGGATATTATTGGAGTCCAGAAAGTGCTAGAAAGTTCTAAGATTCCAGAAAATTCTAGAAACTTCTGACCAATTCTAGAAACTTCCGGAGAGTTCTCAGAGTTCCAGAATATTCTGGAAGTCTGCTCAGCATTGAATGTTAATAAAGGATGTCCTTGAAAACAGATAAATTTCAAAATATTATCATCTTGACGACAGAATCAAAGTTTTGTGGAACAATAGCTATTTTCTATTTATTTTAGGCATAAGGAATTAGGAAAACACACTTTATAGCCAGGAATAAAAACTAAATTGAAATTTGTTACGTGTCGTTATAGGTCATCTTAGATGTCTCTATTTAAAAAACATGGGCACCTATGAGTCGCTCATGCCTTGACAATTAACAGAATAGAGATTTACATATTTGTGGCATTACAACTGTCAAGGCATGAGCGACCCATAGGTGCCCATGTTTTTTAAATAGAGACATCTAAGATGATCTATAACAACACGTAACAACTTTAGCTTAATTACCATATTTATACAAGCAGTCCTCAACTTACAACGAGTCCAAACTTTGTTGCTAAGCGAAAGTTGTTAAATGAGTTTTGCCCCATTTTACGAACTTTCTTGCCAGTTGTTAAGTGAATCACTGCGGTTGTTAAATTAGCAACCATGCTTGTTAAGTCAATCTGGCTTCCAAGCCATTGCGGGGCAGACATGATCCCAAGACACAGCAACGGGTCATAAATATGAGTCAGTTGCTAAGCCTCTGAATTTGATCACATGACCATGGGCAATGATGCAAAAGTCGTTAAGCGTGAAAAACGGTCGTAAATCACTTAATTCTCAGTGCTGTTAACTTTGAACGGCCACTAAGCTAACTGTTGCAAGTCGAAAACTACCTGTAAATATCACCCTCGACACACTAGATCGCCTTATCCTCTCTTCTAAAAGAAACCTATCACAGTACGGCTTTTGCCGCGCAGTCCGTTCGTTGGCTCCTTTAAGAACCACACAGAGGTAACAAAATACCCACGCCTCACACACGCGCCTCTCCCGCCTTCCTGTCAAGGCCCACTACTCAAGAGTCGGCCGCCGGAGCCGCTCCAACGTCTACTTCCCTCACGCGCCCCTCCCAAATGCCCTATGGAGGCAAAACCGTCGACGAAAGCGATTGGTTCTCCCTGAGAGCCACACGTGGGCGGGGCCTCTCGTGTCACGTGCAACACTCCTGAACCAATCGGCCGATCGCGTGATACGAACCCCGGCCGCCGCCGCCGCTGCTGGCGCCGCCGCCAGAGCAAGCGGGGTTGTTGTTCTTTCCCACCCCCCTCCCTTCCTTCCTCCCTCCCTCCCTCCCTCTTCTCCCCAAGATGGCGGCACCGGCGGGCGACTGAGGGGAGCTGTTGGCCGAAAGCTGGAAAAGACAATTCTGGCTGCCGCCGGGAAAGAAAAAGACGACGTTCCCGCCTCGGTTGTTTGTTTCTCTTGCCGCTTCGCCCTCTTCCCCTTCGGCCCTCTAGGAGGATGGTAAAATGACACAAGTGGGGAAGAAAAAGAAAAGGGCCGCCAACCGCAGCATCTTGCTGGCTAAAAAGATCATCATTAAGGACGGCGGCACGGTGAGGAAACGGCTCGTGTGGCGGTGGTGGTGGGGGGGGGGAGGAGGAAGAGAGAGGTTGGCGAGCTCGAAGCCCGTGTGGAGAAAGGGAGGCTGCTGGCGGGCCGAGCGGACGGGGCCGCCGGGCTTGCTTTGTGAGGCCTGCGTTACGGGGCGGGCGGGTGAGTGGCAGCGGACCTGTCAGCGTGGACCATCCCGGTGCCGCCTCGGTTTCCCCCGCGTCGACCACTCGTATCGTATATCCTGATGGTAACGGGTTCACGCCAGAGGGAGGAGGGAAGAGAGAGAGTCTCCCCCACCCCAATATACTTGGTGAGATTGAGAGCGCTTTAAACTCGGGCATGAGGAACATGTGCCCTTTAAAAAGGCGAATCGTCCAACTTTCTTTCTTTCTTTTTTTTGGACTTTGTTTTCTATCCCCGTTTTATCGATATTCTTATTTGGCTTTATTTGGCTTCATTGAGGGGAGATTCAGAGGTTTCGAAACTACGAAAATGAGAATAGGGCATGCTTTCTCTTTGCCCTCTTCCTCTCTCTCAGCTTTTACTCTGTATATGTGTGTGTGTGTACACATATATATACATATATATACATACACACACACACACACATACTGGGTCCTAACTTTTGAGCATTATGTTAATCTATGGAATCCTTCAGTGGTTGAGAATCGCTGGTTTTCATTAATTTGATATTTTTATAAATGGTCAGTCACTTGGTCTCCTGCTTTTAAAAACTGATTGGAATAGCAGCATCAAAATGTTTAACCTCTAACTGTTTTTTCTTAAGCACTTCGTTGGGTAATTTTGTTGAAGTAAACTGTTCAGATGGGATCATTTGTTACAAAATAATGTGAAGTACAGGTAGGTAGTCCTCGACTTATGACCACAATTGAGCCCAAAATTTATGTTGTTGAGTGAGAATTTGTTAAGTGAGTTTTGTCCCATTTTACGACATTTCTTGCCACAATTGATAAGTTAGTAACCTGATTGTTAAATGAATCTGGCTTCCTCTATTGATTTTGCTTATCAGAAGGTCGGAAAAGGGGATCTATAATGGTCATAAGTATGAACCAGTTGCCAAGCATCTGAATTTTGATCATATAATTATGGAGATGCTGCAAAGGATGTAACTGTGAAAAACATCATAAGTCAGTTTTTTCAATGCCATTGTTACTTTATAAACGGTTACTAAATGAACTGTTGTAAATTGAGGACTACCTGTATACAAGTTTCAGTTATGTAAACTTTACCTGAGGATATCTTATGGAAAAGGTCTTTAGTTGGGGAACTTGCCCATTATTTCTTTGTTTTATCTGTTTTGTAATAATCATGTTGTGGTCACATGTAGACATAATTGAACTGAAGAATAAAACATTTGATGTGATTTTTAGTGATGTGTAGAAACACTAATTATCAAATCTGTAGGTATTCCTATGTATTGTAAGGTGTGTCTCGCCAATGTAGTGCTAGGAACTTCATACTTTTGTGTTTCAAACCAGACCATATACTATAGTTTCCCCTTTTGAAATAGGAAGAAGATGTGGGTTTTTTCCTGGCGAGTATTTTTCGGTCATGGTAGTAGCACAGATAGCGAACCTATCTTACAGATCATCCTAAAGACACCTTTAGTAGAGTACACATAGGAAAGTTGCTGTAGTGGCAAGCTAATCTAGAGAGCCACATGCCTAAGAGACATTGAAGTGATTGCTCTGGGCAACTATCAGAGCAGTAAGGGAAGTTTGGCTCAGTTGCCATATAGCACTGCTTTATTCTGTTGAATGGTAAAAGTACTTCTGCTTTTGTAGTGATCTGAAACCAGTTGTACCTGATTGTTATGTGTTTAAATATTTGAATAAAGTTGATGTCTGTGACATAAGATCTATTGGGTTTAATTTGAGACATGGTTGTATAAAAAGTGCTTTACATTTTTAACATATGCTGTGATGGTACCAGTCCATGGTTAACATGCCAGACATGAACAATATATATCAACTGTATGCTTAGGGGTACTGTAAACAGGCAACTGCAGTCAATTAAAGTGCCCTAAGGTGTGTGTCCCTGAGTCTTTAGGGACGGATCACCTATTTACACTTTGCTATCTGAACTCTGAGCAGCTATTATGTTTGCAGTCTGATCCTCAGCTGATTCTGCTGTTGCCTTTTGCAGGTGTATTTCCATTTCAGCAAAAAATAATAATAATTATGCCCTTGAAAATCCTGTGTGCAAATTAGTAACATATCAAAGTTCTGAATTTTTAAGTTTAACAGTCAAAGCCAGGTGATACCAAATTATGCCGTGCAGTATGATCCTTGTTATTTAAGGATGTGAATGTTTCTCTATGCAGTAACAAATGATGTAACATTAATAAGGCCTCTACTATATTATTATTCTTTAAAAGGGAAATAATAGCCACACAAAACATAAGCTTGCTGAGAAAATGTGACAAATCTGTATAATGCCATGACTTTGAATGAGCTGTAAAGTTTGCTGTGCTATAATGGTAATTTTAATACTGTTAATTGGGGAAAGCTTTGTTGATAATAGTTCTTTAAAATATGTAGGACCTTTGTCTATGGAGATTCTCAGTCATCCAGGTCATGGTTGTTCCAAAAGTGCTTTTTCAAGAGGCAGCTGGACTTTCTGGTACCAGAAAGTCCAGCTGCCTCTTGGAAAAAGCACCTTTGAAACATGTAGGACCGTCATTGTGATCCCATTAACTTGTAAACTCTTGAACATATTTCTGTTAAAAGAATCCTCTCCAAAGTATATTATTTTGGTATTAAAGAAACAACCTTGTGGTATTTGAAACGATGTTCGGTTACTTCTGTTAAGTTGGGTTGTATGCTACCATCTAGGGATATGTGAAATGTTACACAAAAAATTTGGTGCATGGAACAATTGGTCTCTTGAGAGAAACTCCTGGAAGGAAGGCTCTGGGAAGATTGGCATGTGAACTGACATACAGACAATGTAGGGTTGCCCTGTAACACCCCTCTGAATTTTATTTTGGTCATTACCTAAAACAACTAGGAGGCTCTGTGTGTTAGTTTAAGACAAATCGCAACCTTCCCAGAACAGTTTGACTAGATTCCTGAGCAACAGTGTGTTTGTTTCATACATGAACAATACATTTTCCATTTTATGAGCACTCCTATTTATTACCCAATACTAGTAATACTTTGAAAGCTTATTTTTGCTATGTTTTAGAGTATGCTTCATCTTTTAAGGTGCCTCTTTTTTAGTTCATGTGAAACAGTACTTAATGATACCTCTAATGCACAGGTTCTTCAGAACTGTATGCTGTTCTTTAAAGTAGTACAAAATGCTCTTTTCATTTCTGATGAATATAATATCGAGAAAAGAGCTACAGACAAGCATTTTATACTTAATATTCATACTGTACGGAAATATTCTGTCCTCCTGCCACCTATTATTATTTTGCTAAAGAACGAAGCTGACTTGATAAATTCAAGTACATGAATTCAGAACAATAAAACTGGCACTTTGAAGGGTCCTGCATTTTCAAAAACATTTCACATCTTGTTATTGTATAAAATAGTGTAGAGAACGAATATACTGTAGATTTAAGAATCAATTTTAAGGTCGTCTTTTGTATTTCCATACTTCCCATTTATTCTTTTTTGAATTGGTGAAAGTGATCTTATTTTTTTAAAGAAACTCTTATTCCATTTTCAGTGTTATTCATTCATATTGTAGCTTCTGAAAAGTCATATTTTAGATTTTAGAGACACCACATTCAACTTTTGGGATCCAGTCTTATTTGTAGGAATTAAGCGAGACGTCAAATGTAGAACATCAAAACTACTAGAATTCCTTGATTTTTTTTCAATAATTAATTATTGAATTTTTGAAATTTTAACGGTCACATATCCTGATTCTTGATGACTTGTAGGCGCTGCTTTAAAAATATCTTTGAACTTTTATTCTAGTACTGCCAGTGTCAATTGTGGCCTAGTACTGTTGTGCAGCTGGATAAATGGAGAATGAATATATTGTTGATAATTAAGCTACCTCTCCCATCCTTGAAGAAAATAGAGAGTTGCAGTACTCCCTCTTACATTTCATAATCTCTTATGCTTCTTAAGTGTATGGTACTGTACAAGACAAGGTTATTATAGCTGCTCATGCAATGATTCAGTGATACAGTTGGTCCTTGACTTAACCATTCATTCAGCAACTGTTCGAAGTTATACCCATGCTGAACAAAGGGACTTAGCACTGGTCTCTAAGTTATGGCTATGTAGCAACCCATAGTCACATGATCAAAATTTCAGAGTGTGACAGATTGCCTTTATGATTGCAGTGTTTCAGCTTTCCCGCCTGCCATTCTCACTTCATCTATGCCCGTTGGGCCCCTGGACTCTGCTGCCAAAGCCATTCTAGCTTATTCTTATTTTCTTACCCCCACTGCTGACCAAACATATCTGGCCAGCCCATATGCAAAGCAATTATTGGTTGCACAACACTTTCTTCCCAAGGTCGCCCATGGTGATTTCCTTGTGAGAGCTGGGAAAGATGT